CGCAAAACCAATAAGCGTAAGTTTAACATTTTCAATGGCGTGCAAGGCAAGCGGAAGGCAACTTATTGTGCTGCACACAGACAAAGGGAAAAGCCGCGAGGAAAACGAGTTCCCAAGTGGACGAACGACGACCGACGACCGGCAGACACGGCAAAGTGGAGATCCTGGCGGGCGGATAGAGGCTGAACGGCAAGGAGAACCAGGAGTACCAGGAGTGTCAGTAAGGGATAGTAAAACTTACAAGCAAAATGAAAATACAATCGCTGGACGTGCTCTTAACGTGGGCATAACAGCCAGCCGAGTTTCAGGAGCTGGGGAGCAAACAAAAGGCAAGGATTGCGTCAAATGAAGCGCACTGGGCGGACTACAAAAGCTTTCTTCGATATTAGCGCATGCCTGGCATTGTTCCAGTAGCTGCACCAGGAGCATCGCCATCATCCTCATCATCATCATCGGTTTACACACTGCGTATACGCAACGCACGTGCAACAAAAGGAAATTGTTCCTGTGCGCTCTGCCGTCGAATTTCAATTAACAAAATCATCCTAATGCCGGCTCGCCTTCAGAATAGTTATCTGCCAGGTTGGCCGGAGCAGGCAAATGCCGCTGATGCATAACCATGAGCTCGAGTAGAGCTCATCCGTATCCTGTTTGTGTCTGGCTGAAAGGAGGAAGAGATGGCTCAGTGCTGACATTAAAGCTGGCTGCACACTAAGCGACTCGATGTGATCCTCCCTTGGAGTTTTAAGGGACGCCAAGAAAATAAAATAAAAAACATAATTAAATTTTGGGGAGTTTAATATAATTAATTGTTTATATTTTAATATGGTGCTTGCTTTTTAGTAGTAAGTTTTATAATATATATGACGGGCTATTATGGTTGCTACAGGAAATGCTAAAGACATATGTATATATAGTTTGCAAATAAATAAGAAGAATAACTGCTCGGGTATTTTTACTGTTTGCCTTGGTTATCATTTGTGCTTTTTTTTTAAATTTGTTAGTAAATATTTAATGGCGCCATGCATTTTTGAACTTAGGAACTTAAACAATTTTCTTAAACTTCAAATTAGTATACCTTGGGAACGTCTTGGAGGAACAAAGTACAACTTTACACGATTTTAAATGTTTATTAGGGGAATTAAAAAAAATGTTCTCAAATTTTTTGTTGACCAAGAAGTATGAATTATAATTACACTGTGCAGCATTTTTAGTGCTTTTTAAATTTACCTCGATGGATGCTATATTTTTGGATTCGTTACGAATTCCCAAGTTAAACTGCGTTTTCCAAAAAGTTCCCCGACGCAAGGATTCTTAGCAAAAGGACCTCAAAGTTCGAAAAATGCTGAAATTGGCCAACTTTGCGGAGCTCTCAGAGGCAAATGGATGCATGGTTTGATTCTATGTTAAAGTTTTTAAAAGATACACCCTTTATCTTTTAAACCCTATACCTAAAAAATTTTTAAGATTTTTTTAAGGCAGAAACAAATTCTAGAAAACATAGTCAAAAAACATAAAAGTATACAGCTGCGGTCAAAATGGTAGTAGTGTTGCCGCCCTGTGTATTTAAAAGTTTGTTGTTGTAATTGATCTTTTCCTGGTAATATTGTATTGATTATAATTTTACTATTAGACTAATTGGATAAGAAAAAATTACAACATCAAACTTTTAAAAACACAAGGCGGCAACACTGCTACTATTTTGACCGCAGCTGTATGATTTTCAGTTTTTTGACTATGTTTTTTGGAATTTATTTCTGCCTTAAAAAAAAACCCTAAAATTATTTTATGTATGGGGTTTGAAAGATAAAGGGTGTATCTTTTAAAAAACTTTAACTTCGAACCAAGCCATGCATCCATTTGCCTCTGAGAGCTCCGCAAAGTTGGTCAATTACAGCATTTTTCGAACTTTGAGGTCCTTTTGCTAAGAATCCTTGCGTCGGGGAACTTTTAGGAAAACGCAGTTTAACTTGGGAATTCGTAACGAATCCAAAAATATAGCATTCATCGAGGTTCATTTTTGATGCTGCATAGTGTTATTTAAAATTTTCTATCGCGGTTTTGGAAGTTCTCTTCTATATATGTACGGCAAATATATCATGGGTTGGTGGTAAAATTATGAGATTAACATACGTTCATAATATCAGTGAGTATGGAGCACAAGCTCCATTTTAGTATGCATTTTAAGTAAAGCAAATTATTGCATTATTTTTTCTTCTACCAGTTTCCTTTTCAAAGCACTTCTCAATTACACAATCCTGCTCACTAATTCTGGTTTGTTAAAAAAAAGTCATCTGCGAAAGTTGCCGACTAACTAATTGCACACAATTTTGCACAAGCTCCATTTACTAAAAAATAAAGCAGCTACCTACACTTTTCTCTCTATTTTATGTATATATTTTTCGCACACACATACGCACGTCTGAGAACATCCTTGTAGGAACAACAATTAGAGCAAGGATCACGTTTATAGCAACAACAATTTATTAAAATGCTGGAGTCGCAGTGGCAACAAATGAGATAGAGTAGCGCGTTTTTAATTTGTGCAACATCCAAGGTGCGACGGAGTGGGGCATTCGGAGGATAGCTTCCACGTTACAACACAACACCCGAAAAACGGAGCAATGCGGCGTATACTTAACAACGGCTGGCAGCAGAACCAAAAAACTGGCAACGGACCCCAAGTACGTGCGGCCATAAGTGTTACGTGAATGTGTGTTTGGGGTTTGGGTGTTTCGGTGTTTTGGTGTTTGGGTGCTTAGGTGGGTGTGCAAAGGGTTCGAGAGTGTGCGGATGACTGTGACCCAAAATCATTAGCAATATGAGCAGCAGTTTGTATTAAAAACAAAGCCGGAGCTAAGGGGAATGGGCTGTGATATGCAAAAAGTTCACTAAAACCAACGTGATTTAGGTATAGACCGGGGGAATTCCCTGTAATAAATATCTTAAAAGTAAGGGAATGTGATTTGTTGATTTATAAGAATTTCCGAAAACAATTTCCGCAAAATGTTATATTTTAAGTTGATTTGATAATTACTGATTTATGGCTTTTTGAAATAAAATTATTTTATTTTTTTATATTAACTGTAATTTAAAATCTACCGAAACGTATTATTTTTATAATATAATAATAATAATATTAATTTTTAATAACATTAAAATGGCTAATTAAGATACCCTCTGAACAACTTTCACAATTTTTCCATAATATTTTGAATGAGTAAGCAAAACGCAATATACCGTGGAAATATCCCTCTACCAAAAATGTCTGCTCTCTTTTATTTTCGGTGGCATGTGTGTGCCGGGCAAAAGGTTAAATTAAATGGCTAAATGATAAGCATTTGGGTTAAATTGCTCCGCCTGGCAAGCCGAAGAACACAGAACGTGAATATATGACAAACTGTGGGGATCGTCCCCTGTTTTTTGGCCTGAATGGAATGCGTACAGTCGCTTCTAATGTTTTTAATAGCAAAAGTTATAATGAATTTGTTAAAGAGCAACAGGGGCTGTGGAGGGGAAGTTTCACTTTTGATTGTTTAGCGTTCTGTTTGTGTTTGCTTTTATTTCCCAACTCTCGGCTTTTTTGTTTTTTTTTTGTGAATTTTGTTAACCTCTCGCATTGAAATTATTCTGTGTTTTTCGGTTTGTTTGGTAATCAGCAGCGGCGAGCTTAATTTTTATTTTTAGTAAGCTCCGTTTCTGCGGTTAACCTGAAGCCGAGCCTGTCATCATTTCATGTTTATGTGTGCTGTGCATTTTAAACAACTTTTTCCTTTTTCTGTGCTGTAATGCTGTGTTTGACTTTTATTTTAATCACGCAAAATATTGTGCAAATATTTAATTATGCGCTTGTTAACATTATTTGTGTGGGACCATAATGTGACCAAAAGCCTACTGTCTGAATACAGATTAATGTCGTTCGAGGGAATTGTCATCATTAGTATTACTAGGAATATTCTTCAAGTTCTCAATAAGTATGGGTTAAATAAATGTTTTTCTGTTAAATTAATTGCTACATCTAAAGAAGACTTGATATGAAACGATGATCTATTTAATGTTATGTGGTATCAATTTTGAAAATAAATAAATTTATTTACATTTACTTTAGGTCGCTTTATTGCTCTCCAAGAAAGTGAAATCGGTATTGATTGATAAAAACGATATGACGTATAAATAACATAAATTTGAACAATACCTTTTAAATTTAAATTTATCCTCTATTAAGGATCACTCAAGCCATAGCTGATTTCAATCAATTTGCAGTCTCAGGTGATGCAGTTTTCTCGCTTGGTTTCTTCTCAAAAATCACTTATTCAGAGTTTTTTGCTTAAGACCAGAATGGCAAACAAGGTCTCGGGGCTTCCGCAGCCCAACATCCGTAGTCCGTAGTCCGAGAGATGACAAAGTTTTTCTCTCGGCCTTTCGAGCAAACAACTCGTTAGGCTAATGAAATTTCTTGTGCCATGGCCAAGAAATGCGGAGGGTGTCGATGGCCCGCAGCTTATCACAGCTACCGCATCAACAGGCTGCATGGAAAATTCAATTTTCCAACACTAATTGAATGGTTTATTTTGACAAGGTGGCCCCATGTTAGCTGATAACCCCAAAGGGTTTGCCGCAAATACACACTAACACACCAACACACACCGACACACGTGCACTCGCACAGGTGAGTGCAAAATTGGAGCAACAAAATTCGGTTTGCTGCATATTGTTTGTGGTAAATTTATAGCCTGGAAATCGCGTGGCCCCTGCAGCTCTTTTATAACCAAAATGGTAAAGTTTAAATGGAATTCACAAAACTAAACTCTTTAACGTATTTATTATTTTTGGGAAATGTTATACTATTGATTTAGCTGCGGTGAATTTTAGCAGGTAAATACAGATAGTTTTAATTTCAGGGAATTAGAAATGAAAACATTTGATATTTTTAATGAGTTTAATTACACTTTATAAAATCCGGTAGCCGTGTTAATTTATGTTCTCTAATAGAGATGAGGTTGCAAAATCATGTTTCTGAATTTTAATCATCGTTTTTGATTTAACCAGAGGTCATGGTTACTTTTTATAGCAGCACCTGCAGATCTTTTCTACCTTGAACCAGTACACAACTTCGTGACGATACGTTTCATTGGGTTCCAGATTGATCGAGGGGAAGTTGGGATGATTCATGGCATCGGGGAACTTTTCCGTCTCCATGCAGAAGGACCCGTGCCTCACATATCGAGCTCCCTTCTTGCCATTTATCGTCGCCATGTTATTTGCGGTGTAAAATTGCACACCTGGCTGATCGGTCCAGACCTCCATGGACCGGCCACTGGGCGGATGAACTATTTTGGCCACCTTTACGGTAGATCTCAGCACTTGGCCTCCGTTAATTACGAAGCAGTTGTCGAACCCCTTGATGAAACGATCCTCGAACTGCGGTAAGCGATCGCCCAAGACCACGGGCGACCTGAGATCAAACGGGGTGCCAGTAACAAGGGTTAAGTTCCCTGTGGGTATCTGGGAATTATCCGTTTCCACGATCTCACTGGCTGAAATTTCCACCGTGTGCTCCGCCAAACCTCTGGCTCCTGAATTATGGCCAGCTAGATTGAAGTAAGCATGGTTCGAGAGATTCACAACCGTCTGGCGATCTGTAGTGGCCTCGAAACTGATGGACAAGCGGTTCTCATGATCCAGTCGGTAGGTCACTTGGCAAGTCACAGTTCCCGGATAGCCCTCGTGACCATGTGGCGATTCATGCCGGAATACCACGCCATCGGCTGTCTTCTGCACCACCTCCCAAATGACGCTGTCGAATCCCACGAAACCGCCGTGCAGCTGGAACTGGTCCTGGAATTGGGTAGTCTTATATTAGCAATACTGATAAATTTTCATTTAATGATATTCCTTGAAATATTTCAGTCGGTAATTGTTTAAAACAGGGGTAACCTATTGTACGCGGGTCACTTTTGATTTTGTAAATCTCATAGGGCACACGCCGATTCTTCTTTGTGTTGCAGAATATCATAAGGTGGTTTGATCACCCCTGGTTTAGAATATTAATAGTAATGCATGGGCGGATCCAGGATTTGGTTTTGGGGAGTTTTAGAACAATTGTTTTGCTGTATACTTTTTGAGTACCCAAAATTCTTTCATTTTTCACCCGAGTGGTGAATTAAAATTAAAGTTATAGTTTAAATCATATAATTTACCTGTATGTTTTTCGTCACATTGATTGTTGTGTCGTCCACCGTATACTCGCCGTTGCCCACGCGGTTGGCCACTCTCCCCAGGGTTCCGCCGATGTAGGCCCCTTTGTTGGTCACATAGCCAGCGACGTCATCGAATCCCAGGCACACATCGTCCAGCTTCTTGGAGCCGTCGGGCATCATGATGCTCTGGATGATGGCGCCCAGTTGGATGACCGATACGGACATGCCCTTGGTGTTCTTCAGGGTGTAGCATCGGACCATTTCCCGAGCCTCGGTCAGCGGATTGACGGCCAGGCCGAAGTTCTTCTCCTCTACGGTGACAGACATTTTCTAGACCCCTGGTGTTGTGGTTCCCCTACCCTCAAAAACTACTGACAGGAGTTTCCTGAGCAGCTTGGCTGAAAATTTGGATGGGATTTCAAAGGTCATTTGGACATAGTTTAATTTTCTATTGTCTGAAAATTTCTCGATTGTTTTCTTTTGCGGCATTTGATGGGGCATGTGCTTTCCCGGACAATTGAAAATGCGAATTACCCGGCATTACGGGACTCTCCCCAGTTGGCCATCATTTATGCATGCCAACGTGCTGGCATCGGTTTATCTTTTTGTCTGGTTTGTCTGCGGTTGCAGCTGCATCTTCAACTTGTTGTGGCATTAACGAAGTCGTTGATCTTGCTGCATGTGTTGGCAGCTTGGCTCTAATTGAAATATTTTTATTGCCATTTGGCCCGGCCCTCGCCGGTTGGTGGTGGTGTCATTAATATTCATTAGACGCACAGCCAAATGCATTAGCAGATTGCAGCAGCAAAACAGTCTGATAAATATGTACAAACAGCTGTGTGGAAGTGGAGCTGTGTTCGTTGTGTTCTGTTGCTCTGGAAGCTGGAAGCAATGTGGAAGCAATGTGCTAATGCCTTAAACTTGTCCCAGAACAAAGCGTTTTATTTGCGGAAGTCATTAAGTGGCCCGGACAGAGGAGACAATGTCTTGGCTTAAATTGCTGGCTCTCCCAGAAACTCTCTGATTGCGGTTTGTGGAGTGTGCCACATTTTTGTTGCCGCATTTTTCGGCTTGCCAAGCTCGCAATATTACGTATACGCCTACGAAGCAGATGCGACCGCTCCTTGCAAATTGGGTCTTGGTCTTGTTCTTGGTCTTGTTTTTGCTCTTGGTCTTCGTCCTGCGGCCAGGAAATGAAGTTGAAGTCGCCGGCATTACCGCAAAAAGGCGACGTTGCAAGTTGCAACTTGGCAGCGGATCTCGGGGACAGCGGTGCTGGAATTTGGTTTCCGTCTTAATTTAGCAAACGTTTGCTTCTTTATTTTTGACAGCCATCAGCGGTGGTTTTGTTCTCGGCCTCAGATTCCCTTTGGCGTCTGTCGTATGCAAATTTCGGCTACAAGACACGACATCAGCTGTAAGTCGTGACAAAGTGATTTTGTGAAACATAATGGAGTAACGATTCGCCGGCGGAAATTCGTCTGCTAATGGAAAGTACGAAAAATGGTTTTTCAAAAGGAAACTTTATAGTTTCATAAATATTAATTTCAGTGGGAAAAGCTTCCTGAGAAACACTTAAGGTATTTTAATGTCATGGTTAATAAATTTTTTCTTAAAATAACAAAAAAATCAATGGTATTGATTTCATATTGATATGAAACAATAATCAATTTAATGTTTAGCGGTATCAATTTTAATTTGAATCGCTATTCCGCTCTATTTCTAATTAAGAGAATTAGTAGTTCTCGCTTACACTCAGGTAATTTAAGTGGCCATTCCCTTTTTCTCTCCGTGAGAGAGAGAAATCGGTATTGCATGGTAAAATCCAATATGCGTATAAATACAAATTAAGGTGTTCTATCTGTACTTAGTGGAATCCGTACCCAAATTAACAATATTAAAGCCATCTTAATGAAAGCCAGTCGAGTAAATTAATCGCTAATCCTTATCCACATTGAAGCGCAACGAGAAGTGACTTTAATTTGCTTTGCTAAATATTCAATTAAGCACCTTCATGTATGTGAGCACTATCTGCGGCATAAACCCTCCAAAACAAACGACCCCGGTCGGCAATTAAATGTTGCCCGGCCGCCGGCTAACAATGCCATGATAATATGCCAATGGCCCCCTCTTCCTCCCCCTCCGCATGCCGAAAACCCGCCCAGTGGGGACCAATAGTTTGTGTGCAAGGATATGGCCGCCGTATTGGCCGTTCATACATATTGGCGATGTGCAGTCATTTGTTCATTAGCGCAGCGCATAAAACTCATCAAGGGCAATTAACATTAACGCAGGCAATCAGCGATTTGGTCCTGCTTCCAGTTCGTCCTTGTCGGCGCCTTGAGCGCCTGGTTGGGTGGATTGGATCTGGCCCACTCCCAGGACATTAATTATCTTATTGGCCTATATCCCGCTCGCCACAGCATCCGCATCGAAGCCGAAGTGGCAATATTTGAAAGTCTATTAAACGCTCAGCGCTGGCAATCAATGCTGGGCAGGGCCACAAATATTGCCCATCTGCTTTTATATGTACACACATACATTCAATACGCCCCGCTCTTCATGTCCTGTGCCGTAGGACGAGCACAAATTATTGAACATGATATTGAATATGAAGCTGGAGCCGTGGCTTCCAGCGTCGATTGTCCAGCGGAACGGACCGAAATCAAAGCCACAAAAGAAATCCCAGTTTGCATATTAACAGCAGCTGCTGCCCGGCCAAAAATTGAATAGGAGGTGGGCTTGTTGGCCATCAGCGTGGAAATACAGGGGGGTGTATATAGTCCTGCACATCCTTTGTCAAGCTGAAAATGCAAATTGCCATGACATGCCCTTAACCATTTACCACACGGCGCCCGGCCATCGAGTTCTATTTTTTTTACCCCCGGCTGTTTTCTTCTCCTGGCTTTCTGTACTTGCTCGCCGGCCACTTCAGGCCTGGCTGGCATAAAGCAAAACGCAAAAAGAAATCAGCAACGGATATGCAAAGCAATTGGGAAACTACATTTTGGAATGGTCCCAGTAGATACCCCTTGGTAGAGCATAAAAAGTATAATTATTTTCGATATTTTCACAATATTATTTTCACAATATTCTTTCGATAATATCGATGTTTTCACTGATATATATAAATCTAATGAGATTGTTAGAATAAACCTTCAGGTAGGAACAATAATGAGACTGAAGTAATCTTATTATATTTTCTATTAAAATTAGAAATCATCCATTTACTTGAGCTACACTCAAAAAATAACTTGAAATAAAAAGTTGATTAATTTGATGTTGTGGTATCAATTTGGACTTGATATGCGGACACCTCATTTCGATATGCTCGAAATGTAAACAACTGCAATGAACATAATTTAAGTCGCCACATTGCTTTTCCCTCTGATTTTTGAAGTAAGAGAATCTCCGAGAGAGACTTCGGTAAAAACGATATGCGTAACAGAAATTTACTATGCGCATATCGATTTCACCGCGATGTGTTTTTTTGTGTGTAGGAATAACGGTAAATGTGTAAATGACTAATTTTCATCAAAAAAACTTTAATGTTATATTTGATACAGTTCTAATTCATTGTACTATAATTTTCAAATAAATCTAGAACTAAATTCTATTAATTATTTAAATTATTTTCTTTATTTAAGTTATTTCGATCAGCTCCTTTGCTACCCTATACTGCCCACAAGGTATGCAGAAAGTTTGCAGGCAAAGAAACAGGTCTTTGCAAAAAACATGAGCCAATTCTCCAGAGCTTTTTGACCATACGTCTGCGGTTAAGTTTGCCCCAGCCAGGACCATTCAACCCATCCATTCAAGGCAGCGGATTCGTCATCCCCCTGTGTTCCGTGCGTCCCCCTATAAGAAAACCACCCAGGGGATGGAAACGAAGCGAGGCGATGCGATGGTAAAAAAGGCAAGCCGCACAAATTGTTTGGGACGTCGCCGGCAACGCTGCGTGAACCCATGCAAATTTCTCCCTCAGGTAACCTTTGTGCTTTGATTGATTGATGGACAGCAGGAGAGCGGAGTCGCCGTGGTCATCATCTCTTGCTATTTTCCCCAGCCAGCTTTCTTTTCCGCCCGGCAACGCCAATATTGAATTTAATTTGTAGACACGCGTAGATGTCCGGAGCTGGAGAGCTGTGTGTATGCAAATTCCAATTTTTACCTTCCGAAAATTGAAAACAAAGGTGCACTACTGGGCACGGGACTTTGGTTTTGATTGCGGGCATTAACAACTTTTGACATTGTTTTACATTTCTGGGGAAATCAAAGAAAAAGGTAAAAGTGAGAGTAAGTTCCGTGTCCACCGAGACCCAAAATCAATCCGCAGACCCTTACCCTTGCCAGATTCAATCAAACTGTCAGCATGGAATTGGAAGAAGTGCGGACACCGTTCTCGTGGCCAACGAAATTTATTGTCAAAATTAATTAAAAATTGTAATGAGAACGGACCAAATCGGGCTCGACTTAAACACATTGACGACGATTAATTTGTTTGGCATTCTACAATTTGATTTAAAATTAAGCCGAACACCGCCGTGAATTTCAATTAGATCCGCATTTCCACATTTCGGATTTCGGTTTGTCGGACATCGGTCTTGGCCATTTCATGCCAATTTGATTGCCCTGTCGGCGGGTGAAAATGTAGCTCTTCAACTGGCAATTGGTGATTTTATTTACCGCTCGCTCGCTCTGCCATGATTTCAAATTTCAAATTTAAATTGCCTCGACCCGGCTGGCTGGTGGCTGTCCAAATCGATTTAAAGTCAAATTGCACATAACAAAACCAGAAAAAAAGAGCCAGAGTGTGGCGCAAATCAATGGCTAAATATTGCAAAATATTTCCAGTGCAATGTGCCAAAATAAGTGCGACTGCAGTTGGCCTGTCACATGGCCCAAATGAAAAGCCATTTACATAGTTGTTCACTTGTCCCAGTTTTCCCCTCCCCCCCTTTGTCGACCCCTCGAAGAGCTCACTTGATATGCAATACACTTTTTATCTGTATTTTCGCACAGGACTCCTGCAGGACGAGTGCAAAATCGTGTTAAGTTAGAGGGCACTGCGGACTGCCTATGGAACAAAAACAATTTCATCCGCCTGCTGCACATATGCATATGCACAGAAATATGAATTCCGGCATGGTAACATGGCATATGAAAATGTACAATTTCGGCCTCCCGGGGAGAAGATCTAGTGGAGGTGGAGAATATTGACAGTGCAAGAAAAGGGAATTGTTTTCGGAATGACAATTTACAGATTTCTCTCATATTCCGGAGAAAGTCCGGCATTGTTGGCCCAGAAACTTGGAATTTGAATTTGAATTTCATGTGGGTGGAGATGGAGGGCTCCAAAAACGCTCCTAA